ATCTACACACACACACACACACACAAACGTACACTGACACATCAGTTACCTACTGGGAACACGGCATCATATGAAAGAAAACTCTAAAGTCACCAATCTTTAAGGAACTTGAGTCTGATGGTAGACATAAGTACACAAAATCCCAATTTTGTAATATTACACAAAAATTTATTGAACACCTACTAAATGCCAAGTAGTGTTCTATAATTGGGAATTACAGGAAATAACAAAAGTTCTTAATTTCACAAAACTTACATTCTACATTTGTTACGATAAGCAAATGAACAACCACTGATAAGGTAAGGTACTAGGTGCTAAGAAGAAAAAATAAATCCAAGTAAGGGGATAGAAGATAATGGAGTGGTAGGTGTTATTTGTGGTAGTTTGGCTAGGGAAGCCCCCTCTGTAAATAGACTTGGAGTAGATGCCTGAAGAAGGTGAGGAAGGGAGCTATGAGAATATCTGGACAATTAATATTCCAGGAATAGAGAAGAGGTAGTGCAAAGCCCTGGCGTACAAAGGACTTAGAGTGTGAGATAATGTGGAGGCCAGTGCGGTCAGATCAGAATGAATGAGAAAAATAGGAGAGAGAGAGAGAGAGAGAGAGGGAGAGGAAGCAATGGGTAGAATGAAGAAGTTAGGTGACCAAAAATATTGGGGAAGGGCATCATCAATTCCTTTTAGAGGTTTCTTCATCTTGTCTTCTCCTAAATAGATTAAGCTGATGACATTTTAGAGAGTGCACACACTTATCCTTATAATACATAATGGTGACTGCATATGTGGCATTGCACCTGATATCAATAAGATGAAACATTGCTATTGATTTTCAGGGAGGTTAACATTGCTCTCAATGAGAGCTGTATGTCTTCAGCCCTTGTGTAGGGCTGTTTTGACAGGGAAGGAAGAGAAGGAAAAGCATAGCTCACCCACTAACCCAAAGGGAACTTTCTTCTTGCAGTTTTATATCATGTTTAATAAAAAAAAAAATGCTGTGAATGAAATGCTTAAAGCAAAAAGGAAAATGTTCATAATAGAAACCTGTTTTTGCCAACAGCTCTTATCAACTGCAGTGGTTTATTTCCTGTTGGCATGATTACCTTAATAATTTTCTAGCTATGTCACAAGCATCTGATCTTTGACAAACCTGACCAAAACAAGAAATGGGGAAAGGATTCCCTATTTAATAAATGGTGCTGGGAAAACTGGCTAGTCGTATGTAGAAATCCAAAACTGGACCCGTTCCTTACACTTTATACAAAAAATTAATTCAAGGTGGATTAAAGACTTAAATGTTAGACCTAAAACCATAAAAACCCCAGAAGAAAAGCCAGGCAATATCATTCAGGACATAGGCATGGTCAAAGACTTCATGACCAAAACACCAAAAGCAATGGCAACAAAAGACAAAACAGACAAATGGGATCTAATTAAACTAAAGAACTTCTGCACAGCAAAAGAAACTACCATCAGAGTGAACGGGCAACCTACAGAATGGGAGAAAATTTTTGTAACCTACCCATCTGACAAAGGGCTAATATCCAGAACCTACAACGAACTTAAACAATATTACAAGAAAGAAAAACAACCCCATCAAAAAGTGGGCAAAGAATATGAACAGATACTTCTCAAAAGAACACATTTATGCAGCCAACAGACACATGAAAAAATGCTCATCATCACTGGCCATCAGAGAAATGCAAGTCAAAACCACGATGAGATACCATCTCATACCAGTTGGGATGGCAATTATTAAAAAGTCAGGAAACAACAGATGCTGGAGAGGATATGCAGAAATAGGAACACTTTTACACTGTTGGTGGGAGTATAAACTAGTTCAACCATTGTGGAAGACAGTGTGGCGATTCCTCGAGGATCTAGAACTAGAAATACCATTTGACCCAGCCATCCCATTACTGGGGATATACCCAAAGGATTATAAATCATGCTATTATAAAGACACATGCACACATATGTTTATTGTGGTACTATTCACAATAGCAAGGACTTGGAACCAACCCAAATGTCCATCAATGATAGACTGGATTAAGAAAATGTGGCATATATACACCATGGAATACTATGCAGTCATAAAAAAGGATGAATTCATGTCCTTTGCAGGGACATGGATGAAGCTGGAAACCATAATTCTGAGCAAACTATCACAAGGACAGAAAACCAAACACCACAAGTTCTCACTCATAGGTGGGAGTTGAACAATGAGAACCCTTGGACACAGGGTGGGGAACATCACGGCCTGGGCCTGTCGTGGGGTGGGGGGCAGGGGGAGGGATAGCATTAGGAGAAATAACTAATGTAAATGTGGACTTAATGGGTGCGGCAAACCAACATGGCACATGTATACCTATGTATCCAACCTGCACGTTGTGCACACGTACCCTAGAACTTAAAGTATAATAAAAAACAAAAGAAAACTTGAATGGAAAAAAAAAGAAAAGAAGAAAATGCAAAAAAAAAATTATTTTTAGTGCTCTGTTAACAGTGTAACTTAAAACAGATTTTTTTGGTGTAGTTTAATTTTAAAAATCAATTTTTATAAATGTTTCCTTATCATTAAAGGTAACTTCTCTATCTGCAAGTTAAAAAAAAAACAATTTTGTAGCTGTATCACTAGTCTTTGTTACTTGGTTTCTTTGGAAGGGAAGAGGGAAAGATACATTGTATATTAATATTCCATCCATTTCAGTCCTAGGGGAAGAAGCCTCTTGTAGGCAACTGGCGAAGACTGCCTTGTTGCTTCTCATAAGGTGGCAAAAGTGGACATTTTCTTATGACACTATCCAGATTTAGCAGGATAAGTAAGCTCTTTTCTCCAAGATGTACCCAGTGGCTTAAGAACAAGATTTCCAATGTTGTTTGATAGGAGAGGGCTGGCTTAACTGGAGCCTGTCCAGTAAATGTTCATCCGTAACAGTATCTATTTTAGACCCAAGGTTTCCAAAGAATAGTTCCATAGGTATAGACATTATAGAAAAGAGTCAATATGTTGAGACACTCAGAGTTAGATAAGATTTCTTTCCTGTAGTGTTTCTCAGAACCTTTAGGACAACAAAGGCATTGATCGTGAAACCACCAAGGAGGAATAAAGTATGGCTCATTTCTTAAATATGTTTGCTCACAGAAACTTCTTTTCAAGATAAGTCTTGAACGTTATATATTTTTAAACAGGTGCTTAAATAAATGCTGTGAGTGGTCAGCTCTCTAGAACTATAACAGCTGGAGAAAACTGCAATCCAAACCAATCCCCCACAAAACAAGGATATTCAGAACCTAAGAGTCCTCAGAACTCCCTTAACCTGTACACTTTGTAACTTCCTGCCAGGAGAGAACACAGCTAGCTTCTAAGTAAACTGCTGACTTGGTCTTTGGGTCATGCTCAGGTATTAGAGAATAGAGAATTGATAGATCAGGACTACTCCCCCTAAATATTGAATGTTAATGCTTACAAGTGTATTATGTATGTCTCAAGATATCATCTGGAATATGGCACATTGGTTATAAGAATGAAGCTTAGATCTTCAAGGGGACTGACTGGAGGTTTTTAGCATCCATTTCGTCAGAATCTGAGCACTGCTGAGAATGTTGAAGTAGACATTGCAGAATGCTCTGTTATTCTCCAAAGGACAGTGTCATTCTTTGAGGTGAAGCCAGTGCACACCTATTGAGTCAGTAGTCTAAGATGGTGATTCATGCTCCTGGTTATGGCCTCCATCTATAATTCCAATTCCTAGCCATTATTGGACCTTCTGTGTTTGAAGATCCTGATCTGAACCTGCTTCAGTAGGATTTTTCAGGATCAGATCTGCCCCAGCAAATCCTTGGCCAAAAGAATAAGACTTAAAGGGATTTCTTGGAACATGGCCTATTCAGAGGTCTTATAAGGGACACAATTTATGTTGCTTTTTTATACCCTGCACTGTCTGGGAAAGACTTTGTAGTCTTACCTAAGGACGCATAGCTTACTTAAGAATTGATGGGTAAGACAAGAGTTAAAATAATTTGAATGATCATAGTAAGATCAAGGAAAAGTAAATGTAAGAAGAATAATAAAAAGTCAAGAGCAAGGTTATGCATGTCACAGTTAATAACTGATAATTCCTGAGAACACACACTTTATTCCACTGGTAAAATACATTACTAATATGAATAATAGTGTATCAATTAGGTGAGGCTGTTAACCAACAGCACTAAATGAAAAACTTAATTTTACAAAGCAGGATAAATGCAGATTTCCCTTGTGAACATTAAAGAATCAGCCAGAAAAGTAAATTGAACTAATTATGAAAAGTTTCCCAGCTGTAGAATTCATAAAGTTGTATACTTCACATAATCTTAGTTTGTGTCATGTAAAAAAGTTTTTAAACATTGCCCAAAGATGAAGACACCATCTGAAGAATAATTTTAATGAAAAATATATCTCAATTATATTATTTGTGGTTGTGTTTCATAGCTATAGAAAAATTTTATGTGAGGGGTATTTTAAAAAATACCATGCATTTTCAAATATTGCATGTATGGGATTCGTTTAAGGGGATCAAAGGAATCTCTAAGTTGACATCATGCATCATTGGCATGGCATATTACACTCTCAATGGTAATAAATATTTGAAGTCTTAGTAAATGCTTAATGGTGGATCACAGTCTTTATTTGCATTATCTTGTAACAATTAGCAAATGTCTAATTTTAAATCATTCTCTTTAGGTCTTGCTTATCAACAAAGGAGGGATGGATAATTGACAAATTATATAACTACATTTACTTTCTTTGACAAAATTCTTGTGTTGATTTTTTTGTAGATTCCAATTCAACATTACATGGCATTGTGGAGCTCTGATTAATGCCCCTATGGTCCTTATGCCTCTCCCCAACATATTCACCAGTTCTTCTGTTTCTTACATTTTATTTCATTTTTAAAGTGATACTATAAAGTTAAACTAGTAAGAGTTCCTGTAAATGGTCACAACAAAAGAAATCTTACCTCTCTCTAAAGCATGTCCAAATGCCACAGCAAGCAGTAATACCAGGACCCTCTTCATTTTTCTACCAGAGTCTTGCAGCACCTCCTGTCTCCTGTAGGTGACCATGTAAATGGTGGCAGCCAAAAATAATTGGTTTCCTTTTTACGAAGATTCCTGACTATGAATTAATCAATTATTAATCTCTACACAGAAGTAAGGGGCTGTTATCTTTGGCCCAAAAGAGATAAAATAATATCAATCAAGGTAAATAGACACCTTGGGGATACTGTAGTGGAAAATCTAGGAGATTTTAATCATTAACTTTGTCAAACTGCAAAAGAGGCAAGGTATATAGATTATTTTCCACTGCTGTTCCTCACTAAAGTTTACTTAATATGTTAGTAATGGACACCTTCTCCCCCCGTATAGGGCTATGTGTCTTCTTTGGACACCCCACCTTTCTCATATGTAAGTGGAAAATTGGAAACTGTCTCTTTACCTCTCTTCCTCTCTTTGTTTAAGTCACTACAAATAAGCATTACCTTAAAATATTGCAGATCAGATGTTCTAAGTAATAAGGGGAAAAAAGAGTTAAAGCCAATTCAGCATAATATTTTAAATCCATAATTCTGATGCTATGAAGTAATTTTATTTGAGATGATGGCATAGTACTTTGTATTTCTATGCTATGTTACACTTTCTGAAGCACAGGCATATATATTAAAAATAACCTTTGAAGTGAGGCAAATAACTGGAGAGGTTAAATGGCTCACCACTGCCAATCATAAAAAGTTAGTGGCAAATATTGGACTCCCTACAGTGATTTTAAAGCTCCTTCTACTAATAGTTCACAACTAGTATATTTTATGGGCATGGAATTTGAGAGCTCAGAGAGGCCCTGTAAGACATGAAATCCAACATCTTCATTTTCCAGAAGAGTGAATTGAGCACTGAGTAAATTCTCTGACTTGTCTAGAGAGTCACAGGTAGACCATTCACTGGAATTAGATGAGTTCCACTCCTGGATTTTGCAGTAGCCCTCTTTTCAGGAAATGGTCAGGTTCAGGTTGTTACACAGGCTCTAAAATCAAATCCCTACTCAGCTTTCATAGCTGTGTAACCTTCGGAAATTTATTTTGCCCCTGTATGTTTCATTTTCCTCATATGCAACGTGGTGATAAGTCAGTACATTTGACACAACATTGCTATGAGGTTAATTAAGGTAATCTGGGTGCAGGGTTCATGGTAACATCCATCACATAGTGACATGGATTAATGTCACCTATTACTCTTATTCTAGTTCTTGCCACTTTCTCCCACTGGCATTCCAAATTTATAATATCTGAGAAGGTCAATGGAACTAATGAGGCCATTGGAACTCAGTGGAAGAGTTTAAAGCCAGTTCTGTGTCCAGGGTCTCACAGACAAGTGATTTAAAACTTCATTATCAACTCAGTAACCAAGAATTATCTACATGGGCAGAGCCTGTCAAAATTTCAGTAAACCAATTTAGGTGGTTACAGGTTTAGTCACAGTTTCTATCTATATTGAAAATCCTTGGGTGTTATGTTCAGAAAATAGAGTCCAGCTAGTTGGAAAAAGATACCTATGCCAGATCAAAGCACAAGGATCTCTGTAAGGCCGGTGGAAATCCATATGGTTAAGGAGATAGCTTTCTTGTCCAAGAGCCAACTCTATCCCTTCGAGGATCAACTTCCTGATTACTGTAAATCTAAATTTTCCGTTCCCTTTGGCTGAATTCTTAGTTTACTGTGCAAGTTAATTTAAAAGTGTATTTTACTCCCATGGCAAATTATTTGGAAATGAAACTCCAAATGAGTGTGAAAAAGTTTAAAAAGTACTCAGAACCCCAAAACTCAGAGAGGTAGTAACACATTACCATATTGCTACAGTTTTCTTTTTTCTTTAAGATATTATACTGTATTTATACTTCTGTATCCCTTTTATTCAACTGTATTTCAGTCATCTGATTAGTTCCATTAAAAAGACACACTCAGATTATTTTCCACGAATTTTGATACAGAGTTTAAGATCTGCTCATTCTTTCATTTTTTAAAAAATTAAACTTTATCTCTGCTTTTGCAATAACATTTATCACGTTTGTTTAATGATAAACTACATGTAGCAAGAATTGCAACATCTCATTTAGATGCCCTCTTGAGAAATCTCTATACAAGCTGCCAAATGTATTCTCTTGACTGATTTTTTCTAAACGAAATTAGGCAAAACAGGCTAGTAGCTAAATATATGAGCCTTTTTTTATCAGTCTTATTTATGTAACTTTCCTTAATCTTTCAAACGTTGATTGCTTACTGTGATTCTAAAACTGGGAAGAAATAATCATAATTGGCCTAAATGAGAGGCCTCAAGCGACAATGATTACTCTAGTAAGTCAGATGGGGAAAAAATGGGTGAAAAAGACCAAATCAAACCTCCTCACATTGTCTATGACAGCAGCAGTTATAGCAACTCAGAAATGTATTACTGAAATATATATTTAACAAGATTTATTGAATATGTAAGCAGTAGAATTTTGCAGGAGCTGTTTTTCCTGTATAAAACTGATTTGAAGTAGCCTCTTTCCCTCTTTCCTCTGTTTCCATCTCGCCATTGGCTTCAGAGGAAACGCAGATCTCTCCCTAACTAGGGCTAGTTCCAGGCAAAATTGTGAGGCAGATAAAGCCTATCTTTAGTTCTTTTCTCTATCCCATGTCCCTTCTTTTAGTAAGGCTTAGTTACTAAAAGATAACACTGATACTTCTCTTTATCAGAACAGTATCTTTAACATTTTAATGCTGCCACAGGCTTCTTAAAAACTCTTACTGTACTCCTGTAGAAATGATCTTCTTCAGAATGATTTTGTCCAAGTGTTCTCTTCATTCAGATTCTCTTTATACTATTAAAATGCATTATCAGTATCTTTTCCTGATAAATGAACTGGTGAAATTGATATCAGTGGTTCGAAGCAACACCCTTAAAGTTGATGTACAGAGAGGAACAGAACACAATCCAGGTTTCAGGAAATTCTTATAGCCCAGATATTTAGCTATGATTGACTTCCATAAAAAATTCCAGTATCTTTGTAATAAATCTCTTTTTACTTAAGCTTATTCTAGCTGAATTTGCAATTAAAAGCATTCTAACTATCCTACCTTTAAATCATTCTCCCCTCTGTTGCTGTCATTATTGTTCAAAAATGCAAATAAGACTGTGTTACTGCCTCCCTATTTAAAATGATTTAGACCAATGCCTGTGCTTAAAGTTCATGAATTCATCCTACTTACCTCTAAAAAGGATTCTTTGCAGTGTATGTGTATTAAAATTAAGTACAGCTGAACTGCTTGTGGTTCACTGAACACATTGTGCTATTGAGCTTTCCACAGTCTTTGTTCACATTCTTCTTTTTTCTCGTACTCTATTTTGTGTGTTTGTTGTCCCTTGTCTGTCGGCCTTTCATTTATTCATTTAACATATATTTAATTCATACCACTTTGTACTAAGTAACATGCAAGCTGTTGGTACTACCATGTCAAAAGATCTACATGGCTCTTCCCCTCATGGACCTTCTTAGTCTAACTAGGAAGACAGATGTTGAAGACTAAATGACAAGTGTGCTGAGTTGTGAGGGTGCAGAGAATAGAAGGGGTAAGAGTAGATACAGTGAGAGCAGTGTGAAGACTGCTTTAGAAGTCCAAGCAAGGGATGACAGAAGTGTGGCCCGTGGTGCTGGCAGAGGCGTGAGATGATTTAAGAGACAGAATCATCAGGGAGTGGTAATTGACTAGACTTTGGCTGATGGGGGAAGAGTCAGAAGTTATGCCGAGGTTTCTAGCTTATGCAAGTGGTTGGATATTAATGCCAATCTCTGAAACAGAAGACACTGAAGAAGACACACAAGGAAGATGTGTTCAGGTGGAATTTGAGTAGGCAGCTGGGTCCATGATTCTGGAGCTTCGAAGACACCCAAAATTTCCAGGTTGTGCTGAGTCTACCTCCTCTGTGCTTTGCTCTTCCACAGTGCTCCTACTATAGCTAAGACACCTTCATTTTGGTATTCCCAACAGCTAGCACAGATAGAAACTGAATGTGGTAAACCCTCAGTCATAATCAGTTTAATGAAGGAATTTAAATGCCTAGAGAAATTTATCAACCCTGGATTTAAAAATGAAAGACTATGCTAGAATTCTGTAATTCGTTTACGCTCTTTGAAATCCAGGTGTAATTTGAGTAATCATGGTTTTCATGAACAAGGCAATTCATTTTTAATTTTACTTGTATTTTCACACAAATCTGCAAATGATTTATTCGTATTTTAAAACAATAGGGGCCGTTATAGAAATATATTCCACAGAGTGCAGGAGTTCAGAAAATTCTGACAAATATAAACGAGTTTATTAACCAAATGGTTTCATTTTAAAAATAACAATTTGAGGTAAAATTAGAGATAAATTGACGTCTGCCATGACTCTCTTTACTAAGGCTGTAGTAGTTTATGAGATCTTGTATAACAAACTGCCAAATAGGTTGGGCATGGTGGCTCGCACCTGTAATCCCAGCACTGTGGGAGGCCAAGACAGGTAGATCACCTGAGTTCAGGAGTTTGAGACCAGCCTGGCCAACATGGTGAAACCCTGTCTCTACTAAAAATACGAAAATTAACTGGGCGTGGTAAGCAGGCACCTGTAATCCCAGCTACTTGGGAGGCAGAGGCAGGAGAATCGCTTGAACCCATGAGGTGGAGGTTGCAGTGAGCCAAGATTACACCATTGCACTCCAGCAGGGGGACAAGAGTGAGACTTCATCTCAAAAAAAAAAAAAAAAGAAAAAAAAAACAGAAAACAAAAAACAGAAAACAAAAAACAACAAAACAAAACAAAACAAAAAAACCCAAACTGCCAAATAGCCATAACTTTCCCCAAAACACTTTCATTAAGAAATATACATCTCTGAGGAGAAACATAGATATTTAAGAGAAATGATGGTTCAGACTAGATGCAAATGATTTTATCTTTTGCTCGAAAAAAAAACAGAGGGCAAAAAAGAAAGAAGAAAGAAAGGAAAGAAAGAAAGAAAAAGAAAGAAAGAAAGAAAGAAAAAGAAAGAAAGAAAGAAAGAAAGAAAGAAAGAAAAGAAGTTGAAAATAGAATTTATAAAATAGTCTAGGAGCAAAGTTTATATGAGACTTAGCTGATAATAACAGACAGGCAGCTACACCTCTTTCCACCTCTATTGTTAAATGGAATGAGGAATGAAATAATAATCACTGTTAAATATATAGTCATAACTAGTTAACTGTCAGCTAAGTATCCTTAAGTAAAATATTTAGGTTCTTAGTATTTTTAAGTAAAAATATTTAGGTTCAGTTAATTAA